ATACACACATACATATATATATATATATATACATACATATATACATACACACACACATACACATATATACACACATACACACATATATATATATATATATATATATATATACACACACATACATAAAATTTATAACATATATATATATATATATATACATACATATATATCATATATATACATTCACACAGTTTCAACACACAGATATTGAAAGATATATGGGTTTTATAACTTCAGTTGTCACATATTTTCCCACACAGGGGAAAACATATGTTAAAATTCTAGAAATCACAATAAAAAAAAATATATAAAATATTAAATATATATACAACAATAATAAATATATCATTTTTCTATAACATTATAAATAGATATCTTAAACATATATTTTTTATTATAAAATAATATATTTTTAAAATTTTTATATATATCTTTATTATATATTTTATATAAAATAATTTACACTGCTCGAATTTATAGTCAACATACAAATTTGAATTATTTATATAAAAATTTATGTATTAAATTTCATCAATTAAATTTTATATATTACTATTCATAATAATATCCATATTTTTTAAAAAAAATATGGATTTTCTAATTAAATTGTGTTTCAATGTATAAATAAATATATATATATTTAAATATATAAATATATATATGTACAACACATTAATATACAACACATATATACACAATTTTTTATAATTTTTCAAACACAAATATTTTTGAATATATAAAATTTACACATATGTATTGACACATCCTCCATTTTAATTTTCTTACACACACATACATACACACTTATACAAACATAATTAACATCTATTTATTAATAAATCTTTAATATATTCATATATAATAATCTACACAAATATAATTTAAATGCAAAATCTTCTGTTTACATATATTTGAACTTTATCTCAAGGTCATCTTGGATTAGATTATTTACACACAGTTTTATATATATCATAATTGTTATACTTTTGGACATATATACACACATATACATATAAAAAATATATATACATACATATATATATATATATATATATATATATATATGCATTTACATATATGAACATATAACATCATATAACCAAAGGGAATTTATAAATATATACAAAATGTAAGCAACAAATTAGATCAAAAAATACAAATTAATATTTATAAGGAAAAATTGGAAATTATAAACCCCAATGAATATAAATCGACAAAAATGAATAAATATACACAAAAATCTGTAATTTTACATAAAATGTACTCAAGAATCCATATTTATTACACAGACTCGTATATATACCAACAAAAGGAAAAATAACAATTTCATATTTAAACAAATATATACATCTACACAAGGAAAATAAGTATATTTCAACAAGCCATTATGTATTTTAATACCACATGATAAAAATATAAAAAATGTCATAACAACACATCTGATAAATGAAAAAACAAAACATAATATAATATGGATATACATAACTTTCAATGGCATGTATGGATATAAACACAAACCAAATTTCTTTAAAAAAAGATAAAAATATATGTAATTGAAATGTATATACAAAATATATATATACAGGACACAAGAATATTTAATGATATTTGATAAAACCTAGGTTAAATATAACATATACAATTTGAAAACACATATGAACACACACATATACATGTATGTTCAATAAAAACATATTCACAATATACAAAAACTGAATAAATTAACTAAATACAAAACAACTTAAATTACTTTTTTTTTTTTTTTTTAAAATGATCAGTAAACCAAAAATTTCACAATACATTTAAAAAAAAAAAAATTTAAAGAAATACACACTACTACTTCATATTACATACTACTACTAGTACACAAATTAAAAACTTACTTCTTTAATGCCAAAATTTGCAAAATCACACATGTTAAAGGATATTATTTATGTATATAACATAAATGAATGTCAGTATATGAACTATTAATAACCAAATACATGAGATGTTTAAAATTCAAACACAATTGTCTTACAAAATTTCCAATAATCTTTATATATATAAGAATAATATAAATATATTAAACATTGAACATTTGACTGTTTACAAAACAGATGAAAAATAAAACTTTATAAAGAAATATCAAAAATAATTCGATAAATATACCAAGAGAATTCATATAAACTTGAAAATATATATGAAATATAAAAAAGTTGAAACAAAATCGAAAAAGAATATAACAGCTAGGACAAAAACAACAGAAGAAAGCAGAATTGAAATATATCAACACATCATAATTCCTTGAAAACATTTATAAAACTTTGGAGATCAATTACATGACACACCAATGGCTGAAATAGTTCACCATTAAAATGAGCCTGAAGGTTTATTTGAAAAGTTAGGACCAAAGAAATTACAAATACAAATATCAAGCTAATATCTTGCATAAAAAATATGGGACCCAAAGTATAGGTTCTGTAATCAATACATGACAACTACATTTTCCTATATCCTACACATTACAATCACACAAAAGGAAATGCAAAAACCGATTATGACAGCAAATAGAATATTTGTCATCATCTTAATATAATAAAAAACAGCTGCAAAAAACTTTGTTTTCAACATTCATTGCCGTTTTTTTGGGAATTTTTTTTATGAACAAAGATCAAACAATCACAAAAGCAAATAACACAGACATTCTTATCAAAGGGAAAAAAAAGGTTTTATTTACTCATTGAACAGTTTTAACATAAATATTATTCTCGCAAGGTCTTTTTTTTGAAAAGGAAAAATACAAAATTCTGGAGATGGAAAAAAAAAATAAAATGAAGGACTTAAAACTCTTTTTTTTTTTTTGGAACTTTGGGTCTGAAAAGAAAGGAACTAAAGAACAAATTTCAATTAAGGGACACTATCAAAAAAAAATAATTAAAAAATATCCATCAAAATATCGTTATCTTTTTTAACTTTTTTTTTTTTTTTTAAAAATGTAAAACAATATAGGATTTTTTTTTTTTTGAAATTGTTTATATAAAAAACATTTAAAAAAGAAAATATTTAAAATAATAATAATAATAATACACAACTTATTATATAAAATAATAAATTATTATATAAAAAATAATAATAAATTATTTTATAAAAATAAATTATTATATAAAAATAATAATAAATTATTATATAAAAAATAATAAATTATTATTTAAAAATAATAATAAATTATTATATAAAAATAATAAATTTTTATATAAAATAATAATAAATTCATATAAAAAATATAAATACATATTTATTAACATTATTGACACACAAAATTACGAATTGATTTATATATACAATATTTTTTTAATTATTAATGACAAATAGATTAGAAGTGCTACATACATTAAATCTATTTTCATTTCCAGAAAAAAAAAATTAAATACTAAAACACTGTTTAGCTCAGTATTCAATGTATATAAATGCAAATTAACATACTCTACCAAAATATAGCTTCCCGAAATAACTTTTGAACTATGAGCGTGAGCTGAAAGTTCATAGACTATGAAGGAGATATGTTAGAGCTGTGAAATCTTCCTTGCATTAATTTCATGTCTTATTAATAACTGCATTATTTCCCGGTAAACTGACATCTGACTATTCAAAGACTTCAAATGTAAGTAATAGTGATCACTCTTGAAAATGGACAGAATTTTGCCTTATGGTGTATCTGTAGAAAGAGTGTTTGGACCTCATTCTGACATGGTTGCTACATTAAAAAATGATGGCTCAGCTTTATCACTAGTGTAAAATTGGGCAGCTGAATTTAGGAGAGGAAGGAAGAGTCTTGAAGACGACTCAAGGTTTGGATGTCCTGCAACTGCCACTACCGAGGAAAACATTGATCATGTTCACTACATGATGATGGATGACAAGCATTTGGCTATAAATCAAATAGACAATGCTCTTAGCATATCTTCTGAAAGAGTTGATATTTTGCACAATGAACTTGGCATGATTGCTGCTCAGTGACTGCCACATCTTGGGAAAATCTGATAGTGTTTGAAGTAGATCCAGTTGGTTTCCTTGAACATTTCCTGATCCAGGATGAGCACTGGGTTCATCACCTTGAGCCAAATACAATCCATGCATTAGAAGCACTCCCTCCTCACTTGCCAAGGTCATTTCATACATAGGTAAGGTGGTGGCCTCAGTTTTTGTAGATGTAAAAGGCATGTTTATTGACTATCTTCAAAAGGGCTATGCCATCAATGAAGAATACTATGCCAAGTTGCTGAGATAGTTATGAAAGGCTATCAAAATCAAAAGCCCAGGAAAACAAAACCTCAGGACAATTGCTCCAGCACACAAGTACTTGGTTCCAGATTTGTCTCCATATGACTATCACCTGTCAACCAACATGAAAAAATACTTGGCTGGGAACAAGTATTGCAGTGATGATGTCATATCTACTGTTGATGAATTTTGACCAACAGGATGAAAGTTTCTTCACCAATAGAATCCAAGCACTGCAACACTGATGAAAATGTATGGACCACAAGGAGGACTATGTTGATAAATGAACCTCATTTGGTCACATTCCATGAAAGTATCTTGTATCAGTGCATGAACTTTTCAGCCGATCCTCATACAAATTGGAGTCATACATCATGATCATTGAAGAAATATTCCAAAATGGTTATTAGGTTTATTGTAAAATGTCTCTTGTTGAAAGAAATTATATTATTAGTACAAATTACACTTAAATCATACTATATTTTCTAAAAGGTAAAAGAAAATTTATATGACTATAAACACGATCATAACTTACAGAATCAAATTTAAATATTTAATTAAATATTTTCACTAAGTTTGACATTCAATATCTATCCAAGCTAGAAAATCATGAAATTTATATTCTGGTGCTACAATTTTTGGAATTAGCATTATCTAATATATATATATATATATATATATATATATATATATACACACACACACACACACACACAAGAATTCAAACTTAAACCCACCCACAGTGTCTTCCCATGACCTCCATGACGAAGCATCTTTGATGGCTGGAATAATAAAAAAAAAATTATGAATATGGTGTTGAAATTTATCAATGGTTAAAGCTGGATTTTGAGAGAGAGAGAGGAAAAAGAGAAAGCTAAACTGAAAATAAGAAATAATACTGAAGTTATATATATTTATCTCACTCAATCTAAAAAATATTCTAAAAAAACATTAATCTATTTATATATTATATATATATATATATATATATATATATATATATATCATATAAACTAAATTATAGATCAAGTAAAAGATTAAAATAGAGAAAATTAACACTACAATTACAAATTATACGAAATAAAAAAGAAAACTAGCTTATTTACTTGCAATTAAATTAGTATATTAAGATCAATTAGTAGACATAATGTCAAATATATAAATATCAAGTTGGCATGGTATAATATGTACACATGTATCAGCATGAAAAATTAAAAAAAGTTCCTTTTCAAAATTTACATCACCTTACAAGGACAAATTAGAGAATATATAAAAATATTTTTTTTAGATTACATCAGGTTGGGTTTAAGCATATTTTTAAATAATTAATCTAAGACCTTTTTAAACTACATTTTTTTTTATTTTTGAAATTATCTTTATTTTTACTCATTTGTTCCACTATTTTCTGCCATTTTTCAATCAACTTGACATGTCCATCTTCCAAAAACTAATTTTTTGAGCAATGAATTGCTTGTTGCTTTCTCTTGGAGTGCCTTGACATCTTGAAATTTTTTTTCAAGAAAAGTTATTCTATATAGACTCAATAAATAAGAACATCTGGTGAATATACCAGATAAGTGAAAGCTGTGCCAATTTTTGGCAGATTACCAGGGAAATATGTACTCTAAAATTATTTTAACAGAATATAATGCCTTTTTCCCCATAACTAATTAGAGTCACTTTTATGCTGCCTTCAATTGGTTTAATTAGAAGCAGTACTTATTTGAATCAATCATTTGCTTTTGTGGGAAGAGCTCATGCTAAAGTACTCTCCTCCACTCGAACCATAGACACAGCAACACCATTTTTTAACAAAATAAAGTTAATGGCAGTTTATTTTACTTGGTCTATGATCACATGCATGCAACATTATTGTAAAGTATTTACTGTTTATCACCCATTACAATAAAAAACACAAAACAAAAAAAAAAACCAACCAACATCTGAATCCAGTCCAATAGATTTTTTCATTCATGTAGAAGTCTTAGTGACCTGGTGAAGCTAAGATGATACCAAAGAATTTCATTGCTTTAATACTGTGAGTATATTGAATTATGTCTATGTTGTATAATGTAGATCATTCTCAACTAATGTCTTGTTCACTATCAGTGGAACATCATAAAACTATACAAACTAGCACTGATACATTAGTTCATTCACAGTACCATCTCTAAACTGTTCAATTGTTATTTGCTTTTAAGTGAAATATTTAAAAAAAAAAAAAAAAAAAAAAAAAAAAAAAAAAAAAAGCCTATAAAATGTTTTTTTTAATTTTCTAAATTAAAATGCTAGTTTTATATATATATATATATATATATATATATATATATGATATTCAATAAGTATTATTTTGAAAATATACCTGATGGCTAGAAAAAACAGGAAACCTCTTCCACAACCGAAAAAAGTAGAATCTGTACCAATGGTCATATCAGTACCACAAAAATCATTATCAATGGAACCCACCATGCCAGCAATATTTAGGTGCTTGCAAGCATTCATTCTGTCTTTGGTAATCTTATCTGGGGGAGAAGAAAAAAAAATTACAAATGCTTTTATCTCTGACCAAAGGACATTAATTATTTTTTTTTTTATACTTTATGTCCAACTTTGGATCTCAAATTCATTTCAGTGACCAATTTAAAATCTACAATAGATCATACAACATTCTGCTAATGCCCAAAACAACTTTTCATTTATGATAAACTCAAACAAATCAAGGTCTTATTTTTATTAAAAGCAACACTGCATTCAATAAGACATTTTACATACATCATTATTACTTACTATTGTCTACCAATTCTTGCAACAATGATTGCCATTCTTGACGAAACTTGTTGGCGCCTGTCAAACTTCCATCACCTCCAATAACAACCAAGTTGGTAATGTTTACTTGAATCAGATTATAAGCTGCTTTTAGTCGACCTTCTCGTTCACGAAACTCTTTACATCGGGCACTACCAATAACTGTACCACCCTAGATATAAAGAAATTAAAAAAAAAAAAAAAAAAAAAAAAAAAAAAAAAATTATCATATGATGTCTTCTGATTAAAAAAATAATCTAATAAGATGGAAAAAAAAGTAATTATATACATTCATTTATGTTTTAAAGTGCTCATTAGATAACTCATAACTGGAGCTATGTATGCTTTATAGAATTTGATCTTTAATTTAGTACAATTTTTTCATATACACTGATTTTGGAAACGAAAGTTACTTTTAATTTCTAAGTTCCCATGTCTAAAAGATTTGTTAACTAAAGTTTAAATAGTCCAGTGCTATAGTTATATAAAACAGTGATATTAATAAAAGCTAAAAGAATGTGAAAAGTGACAAAAATCTATCAAAAAGGCCTATTGAATATTTAGTGATAGACATCTGAAACACTCATTTTTAACATGTCTAGAAAAGAAAATTTTCTAATCCTGTGTTAATATAAACATACCCTCACTGTAAATACTGCTTTTATAATGTAGAGCTTTGATATGATACTGAAAAGATTTAGAAATCATTTGCTTAAAAATATAAAGTTCATTATTGACTTCAAATGAACATTATGGATAAAAAAAAGTTCTAAAATTATAATAGTTGTCATTAAATAAAATTGTTCATATTAATATAATTTTTTTTATTTTTGCCCAAAATTTTTATTTACAGCAACTATAAATGTCAAATATAAACGATTTTTGGCATGGAATATAAAATGTATCATATTATATAACGAATATTTCCTATAAATATATATATCACATTTCTTCATGTATGTGTTTTAGTCAATATATATATATAATATATATATATATATATATATATATATATATATATATATATATATATATATTTATTCACATATCCGTATATATATCTATATATATATTTATATAAATATATATCTTTTAAATTTATTGTATCCCCATACATCTCAATTATATGAGTTTATCCTCATATATTTATATATCCATATATACATGCTCATTGTCGAAAATGCCATTCTTATCCCCATGTTTATCCATCCCCATATATAATCATCTTCCGGTACAAATACTTAATATCCATATACAAAATACATCCATTTCTCACACATTTGCCATCCCATCATGAAATTTTTTTGAAAATTTATTCATATATATACGATCAATCCCAAATAAGAACATCTGGGTAAGATATACAAATCCCATCCATCCCTGATATCCCCCAGAAGGCACATCCCAGGGAAACATCCATCTTTTACATATTAAATCCATTATAACAGAATTAATGCCTTTTTTTTTGGGGGCGGTAGTCATCCCATACGATAGTCACTTTCATAAACATATAAAACTAGTTTTATATATATTCATTTATAATTTGATATTGGATATAATACTTATATAAATATATCAATCATATCTATCTATTCTATATATATATATATATATATATATATAGACATATATATGCACTATATATATATACATATTCATATTCATGACATAAATATATTAGTTTTATATACATATATATATATTAATATATATTATTCATGCTTGGTCTGTATATATACATGCATATATATAATTATCTGTATATATTTACTATATTATATACATATTCTATATAAAATATCAAATATATATATAATATATATCTACATATAACATCTATAGAAGTCTTATATATAGATTTATATATTCATACATATATATCTATATATACCATATGAAGCTATATATATTCATATATATATATATATATCTATTCATTATATTTAATACTATATATATATCTATATATTATATCTATATTTATCTATAATGTACATATATATATATATATATATATATATATCCATCACTATCAGTGGAACACATCCAACTATCCCATATATCTATATATTCATATATCCATCCATATATATCATCTATATATATATACCATCCATATATATATATTCAATATATATATATATCTATATATCATATATATATATATATATAAAAATAAATATATCTATATATATATATACATATATTAATATATATATATATATAAAATGCATATATTTTGTATGCCCATCTATATATATATATATATATATATATATATATATATATATATATCTCATATAATTCAATCTCCCCATATATATAAAATATACTATATATATATATATATCATATATATATATATATGATATATATATATACATATATTCCATATATATATATATACATATCATATATATATACAATATATATATATCTATCTATATATATACCATAAAAATCTATATATATATATAACCCCATATATATATACTAGCATCTATATATCAATATAGGGTCATATATAAATTCAAACGTATATCTTTATTAATATTATCTGGGGACAACAAAAAAAATTCGAATATGCTTTTATCTCTCCCAAATACATTAAAAGATTTTTTTTATACTTTATATATAGTCTCATCTCAAATTCATAAAAAGTGACCAATTTTATCTGTTCTATTTATAGATAGGCTACAAAAAGAGAATAATGACAGAAAGTTTAATAAATATATTGCTGAATATAATATAAACCAAATCATAGGTCCATATTTTATTAATTAGCAACGTTTGCATATATACCGACATTTTACATCACATCATTAAGAGTTACTATTGTCTGATGTTATTGGATATATATTTATTTGCCATTCTATATATATATTCATATGGTGAGTTTTAGTTCATCACCTATAATAACATATATCGTTGGTATAATGTTTATCTATTGAATCTTAATATTAGATTTTTGCTTTTTAGTTTCATCTAGATTTCCCGAAAGGCAAAAATTTTTTAATTTTTTTTTTTTTGTTTACAAAAAAAAAAAAAAAAAAAAAAAAAGATAGATGATGTCTTCTGATTAAAAAATAATCTTTAAGATGGAAAAATTTTTATTATATATGGGATTTTAATATGTTATTTGTTGATATTTTTTTAGATCAATTGTGGAACAAGACAATACCAAATTTGATCTGGGATTTAGTACAATTTTATATATACACATATTTATATAGCTTAATCACAGGAAGAAATTTCATTGTGAATATGATGTCACTAATGATTTGGTACATAGTATATATATGCTATACGTTATATAAAATATGATATATAAAAGAGAAAGAGAGAGATGAGAGTGAGAAAAATTTTTAAATACAGAAGAATATTTTTTGATGACATTGAAAACACAATTTTTAACTTGTCTTTGTTCAATTTGTTCAAATATTTTAATATGAGGAACAAAACAAAAGTGAATTTTATTTTTAAATTTCTATTTATATTAATTTGTACTAAGAAACTTTTGGAATAAATCTCTCAAAAAAAATAAAATGTCAATATATATATATATTTTATTTGGAAATATTTCGTTTTTTTATGTATATTTAAAAAATTTTAATTTTATCTAAAAATATTATATAATTCTTAATTTGATTTCCTTTCTTTTATTTATATTTTATTTATATTTTTATAAAATATTTTTTTTTTGTTTCTTTCTTCATTTATATTTTTAAATTTTGAGAACAATTTTTGTGTATTATTTTCCGTATATATTTATATATATATATATTTTTTAGAAGATCTATGAATAATAATTTAAACATAAAAAATAAACAAATTTTCGGATATATATGCATATATATATATCCATAAAAGAAAAAGGAAATAAAATATATATATTATTTAATTAAAATATATTTATAAATCTAAAATAATATTATATCTCTCTATATCTATATATCTATATAATATATATATATCTATATATTTTGTGCTTCTCTCTATATATATATATATATATATATATATATATATATATATATATCTCTATATCTATATATATATATATATATACATACCTCTCATCTCTCTCATCTATATCTCCTTCTCCTATCTATATATATTATATCTATCTATCTCTATCTATATCTCTATCTCTATATATCATCTCTATACATATATCTCTATATCTATCTCTATGTCTATAAAATAAATTTTATCCTATATCTAATCGATTAAGGAACATATTGACTGAAGCCCATAAATTAACTCATTCAAAATCAATTAGCGTTGATGCTAATTTATAAAGGTTTCTTTAGAAGAATTATTCCTAACCTATTAAGATCCCATAGTTGCACACCACAAACCTTTTGGTAATTCTATCAATAATATCTGAATAATGCTTCTGTTTTGTCCAAAAAGAAAAGTTAAAAATATGCTTTTACAATAATTACTAGTGATTTTTTGCTTATTTACTTCAAGGTTGGTTAGTAAGGCTAGTCTGATTGAGCATTACAAATAAGTAATGAGTTTGAGAAGTTGTAAAATCAATCAACCTAAAATCAAGTGATGCATTATAGCTACTTGGTTATAGTTAATAAACACAGCACTTACCAGATTCATCATTCCAGATACCTGAGCCCAAGTAGCTTCAACAATATGATCTCCACCATCTACCATTCCTTGGTAACCCTAAAAGAAATAATGGATTTACATTATAATTTGGGGAGTGGGGAACTAAATTGAAATGTAATTAATTTAACAGACATAAAAGCTATACCATATACAATTTATTACTAATAAACTCATACACCTGATTAACTTTGAATAGAGAATTATGACAATTTTAGGAAATTTGTCAGAGTTAGCTCAAAAACATAAGCTAGAAATATTTTAAATTATGATAATTGGTTCTGAAAATAAGAAGAGAAAAAAAAAAAAATTATGTTTATAATTGCCACTTATAGTAAACATACGGTCATCAAGTATTAATAGGACATGATCAGAATTGACAACCTACCTCCTTTATAAAGTATACCTTGCATCCAAGGTACAATCCCATGCGAACAACAGCTCTGACAGCTGCATTCATACCTAAAAGCAACAGAGGAAACAGCAATTAACAATATCTGAATCTAACCTAGCAAAAAGCATTTGTTTTCTGACAAAGTCAAATAAAATTTTTAAAACTGAATTTTTGCCAAGGGTTAAAAAATGTGCTTATGAATACAAAATTACACACATTATTTGACAAAAGTAAATTCACAAAAATATAATAAAGAAAAACAACTTATAACAGTCAATATTATTAAATTAAACAATCAAAATATTAAATTTACTCCATAATTATAAATACTAGAAGGACCTGTAGAATTTCCATGGAATGACAAATAGAAGGTTGAGTAAACAAACTTTTCTACATGTATGCATAAAAATAATGCATTGAAGAAAGAGCAATTAAAATCTCTACATGTATAATAGAATGAGATACTTAGGCAGCAAATAGTAAAATTGCATATATTTGTATTTACAAATATATGCAAATAGTAAAATTGTGTACATTTCTATTTAAAAATACATAAAGTTTAGCTATTAAACCTATCCTTTTTTAACATACAATACTCATAGGCTGGGAAAATAAACAAAGATACTTGGGAGTGTCCACCATGTGTACAAAGTGCTTCACTGAAAGGTTTAAATAAATAAAATATATGTAAAAGGAACTGATTTATTAAACAGATTATTATGCTTGGGAACTAATTTTGCTTTAAAACCTAAATATTTTAATTTCATAGATTATTAAAATGACAAAAAGAAGTAATTACTAAACTTATGAATTTAAGTTGATTTACCCTCCTTCCTACAACATATGGGTCAGGAAATATATAAATACACATTGATAATTATTATATGCTTTGATGATTTCAATTTAACTGCCGTTGTGATGAATATATTAATGGAAATAAATCTATAAGTTTTAAAATAAAGCTGTCTTATGAATTTATAAGCATATACATAAATGTAATATATTAACTAAATTTTTAATAAGCATTATATATATATATGTATATATGATAGGAAAAATAGTTTTTAGGTATGTTATTTATGGGTTAAAGTACTGAATATCAGGGATATAGCATATACAAATATAGAAGTGGACATTGAGGTCCATACAGTCTTCTTCATGCTTAAATGCAAACTTCAGGGCATATGCATTGTGCTCTGGCTTGTGTGTTAACATTTTTTACTCATTGATTACGTTATTATTTGTTGTTGACTCTTGTTTATTTGTAGTTAATTTGCTTATTTATTTATTTATTGAATTGGGTTATTTTATTTTCATTTATTTTTATTTTTATTTTTAAGTAACATAGTAAAAATTTGTTTTCATGTCTGAATTTTGTGAGATCTGATTGTTTAGTAATTTGTGTTGATAACTCCAAAACGGTAGATTTCTTCATAATTGTTAATTCGAGTTCAGCATGTACATTTAACACGGAATTATGACGATTTGGGAAAATCGTAAGAGATATTTAGCGCGGGTGTTAAAAAGCAAATTTACCAAAAAAAGTTTTTACCAAGATTTTCTAAAAAAAAAAAAAAATTTTAAAATAATTTCTTTCATTTGTGATAGAGACCTGAAAATTTCATGAAATATTTTAATCCGACATTTGATTTTTGCAAGAATTTCTCTCTAAATTAATGTCTGTCACAGCCAAAAAAAAAAAAAAAAAAAAAAAAAAGAGCCCAAATTTGCTAAAAGTTAAATACAACCACCGACAAGAAAAATAAGTTTTTTTAAATCAAAATTTCGAATGTTCTAAAAAGGAGTAAAAATTTAATCAAAAATACTTTGATCCTTCCACTTATAACATAACGATTTTGACGATAAAACTGTTTCCATTACGGTATGCTAATTTTTTGAGCGTTTTTTGTGGAAGTACCTAGATCTCCACTTTTTCGCTTAAAAAAAGAGAAAAGACCCAAAAGTATTTTTTTTTATTTTATTTTATTAATTTTTTTTAATCCGTTCGAGGTTTTAGTTAGGTTTTTTTTTTTTGAGTTAGCGGTCGATGATTTGTGTTTTTTTTAGTGCCTTTTTTTTTTTCCAGGTGAAGAAAAACACATTGATTTGCAAAAATCAAATTATTGTCGGGTTTTAATGAAATTTTCAGAACTTATTCACAAAAGGAAAGTGGCACTAATCAGCCATTTAAAAAAAAAAAAAAAAAAAAAAAAAACCCAACACAAACAAAAAAATACACACATCAAAACAAAATTTCCAGTCAATATTTCTGTTTGAAATGCACCAGGAGTATTTTGCTTAGGAATAGTAAATTTAGCCTTTAGCTTTAAAATGAAAGCTTCGAGAAACCTTTGCACCATGCCACACAAGCAGAGGAACCCAGTCATGGATGTCAGACAATTCCTGCGATCACATCACCCATTACATTTGACCACCTAACTCCCCAGACTGCAGCCTCCTTGATTATTATGTGTGGGGAGCAGTCGAGCAAGAGACCAACAAACAAAACTCCTTAACTCCAAATATGGAAGGCAGGAATTATATGGCAGCATTCCAGTCACCAACTTAAACAAGGAGACCGCCCAGAAGAGTTGCAAGAGATTCTGAAGTCGTGGTTGAAGCCAATGAAGGTTTTATTGAATAAATTTACTTTACTATTTCAAGATATTTTTGTGAAATTTTGGAAAAGAAAAAAAAAAAGAAAAGATATCAGTGTTATTTCCATTTTTGCGTAATTTAGACAATTTATCCATTGCGCCATATACAAGGTGAGTGAACAAAATGACTACGTACAGAAGGTACATAGGTGTCCAAAAAAAAAAAAAAAAAAAAAAGAAAGTCATATAGCTGTTTGCAGTGGTGCAATCAATGAGTTATGGGATTTATGTGAAATGTGTTCAGTAAAAAATTATTCCATCACTTGAGCATATTTTATTTTTGTAAGAGACAATAAAAGCCAGTCGCTTCGTTTTTATTAAGTTTCGAATGTACTAAAAAGGATTTTTAAAAATTCAAAAAATAATAATAAAATACTCTGGTCTTTCTAACTTAAACCTTTTTTCGCGAAAAAAGTCGAGGTACCTACCTGAGTTGTACAATGCAAAGCAAAAGGAAACCTAGAGGATAGGGAAATTGTATACAATTTCATTCTTAATGTTACTTAGGAAAAATGTTCTGGTAATTTAGATCATGACTTATTTGATTACATACAAGAAAGCGTTTAAAGTAAAGTTAAAGACAACACGAAAATTATTTTCAAGTCTTAGCGAACAATTATTTAAAAAAGTAGTTTTAGTAGCAATCAGTTTTTTTTCCCACTGGCCACTGAATAGTTTTCTCTTCTTTCGACTTTAGAGAGAAGAAAAACAAAGAAAATTTAATTTAATCTTTTTTACTCTTTAAAAAAAGCAATAGCGTTTTTTTTTTAAAAAAAAAAAAAAAAAAAAAATAAAAATGAATGAACCGGATGATCCTCATCCGTCTTTATTGTTCTTGTTTTACGACGTGATGGTTGGTATCTGTATCATTTTTTTATATTACATTTTGATAGAATTTTGCCAAAACAGGTAATAAATACACAAAGATTACCAGATGGAACAAAACAAAAAAATAAAGCGTATAATTCTGGAAAATTACAGTAAAAATATAAAGATTAAGAAAAAACCTAACTAGTGCTTGTTTTTCTAGTTTTTTTTTTAGTGGACAATACTCAGTTTTCGTTAGTTTTGAACTTTGAGACTAATCACTAACTCATCCATATTTTCGATAAATTTCACAAGTAATTCCGTTACGGTTTTTAATTGTTTTATTTCCTAAAACACAAAATTCAATAAAAATAAAATAGTTGAAAACTTGAAATTATACTTTATTCTTGTAATTAAAAAAAAATGTTTGAAACGAAACCAGTAATCTACGATATTTTGAAACATCACTCGAAACTTCAGTGAATTCAAGTGAAGAAAAATCTAAAACTTTAAAAAAGAAACTTGTCCTTGACTATAAAATGCGGGCAAGGTCAAGGTTGTTGTAAAACGCAAAGTTACCGTAAAAATATAAATAACGTTAAGAATGCAGCTGTTTTAGAAAGTACTTTGTTATTCTTTTATTTGTCGATTTTTTCATATATTTGAAAGTTAACTTTCTTCTTAAAAAATTAAGTAAAATCTACACTTATTTTCATACATTTGAAAGTTAACTTTAAATTAAAAAGAAAACATCGCATATTAATTTCGTTAAGGGAGTAAATAGGCCAAAATTGTATAAGTGCGCGAAATGAGACAGCAGCGAATATCTCTCAATAAGCCAGTAAGGGAAACGAAAATTAATACGCGTTTTTTTCTTTTTAATTTAAAGTTAACTTTTAACTTTCAAATGTCTGAAAGCAAGTGTAGATTTTACTTTTTTTTTTTTTAGAAGAAAATTAACTATCAAATGTATGAAAATATCGCCAAATAATTTTTTATGAAGTTAACTTTCAAATATATGAAAATATCGACAAATAAAAAGAATAACAAAGTAATTTTCAAATGTATGAAAATAAGTGATAAGTATACTTTTTAAAGAAGAAAGTTAACTTTCAAATATATGAAAATATCGACAATTTAAAAGAATAAAGTACTTTCAAATATATGAAAATATCGATGAAAATACTTATAAATAACAAAAAGAACAAAATAAGTAGGACAGTAAAGCATTTTTTAATATTATACATTGAAAATAAAAAACAAATTAAATCAATTGTAAGAGGAAGTTAAAAGCTTGGAAAAAATGACATTGACAATTTAAAAACAAATGCAATATAGATGTCTAACGAAGTAGGTCCTGGATACAGTCTGCTCGCCTCTCAGGAAAATGTGAAGGCGCTGACTATGTTTAGTAGGGACTGCTTTTAAGAATAAAAAACGACCAATGTATTGTTTTAAATACAAAGTTCTGTGTCCTGATCTTTTAATTACATCCTTAGTCGTTCTCCATAGTCTTTCAATAGTCTGCGTGTGGATAGTTTGATCTGTTGGATCTACAAAGTGTTCAGAATGGTTGATTTATTTGTGCGTGTACCCGTGTTCTGTTATCCGCACATACGCCGACCAACAATCACCGTAAATGATTTATCCTGGTCGGATGTGTTGCATAATCAAGGGAAGAAGGGTATGGGCATCCCTGGCTTCTCCTTCCCCGCAATCGGACGTAAGTGGTACCATGAAGGTCTTCTTCGAGACTCTTTCGATCCCGCCAAAGCCAGACAGTTTTCATTAGACGTCCCCGGTTATATTTTCGCCTTGCGATAACCGTTTCGTCGATTTCTACCTCGACACCGGGTCCAGCCAACTTCTGCACATTTTCCAGCCAAAACTGGCACACCTCACTGCAGAAGGAGCGCCAATTCACTGAAGTGACTTTCGTAATGTCCAAATTTACCCTGTTTTAATAATAATAAATAAAAATGCACTTCCGGAAGGCCTACAATATTTTTTTTTTTTTTTTAACAAAAATTGAAGATTCAAAATTCCTTAGTGACAGATTTTTCGTTTTTAAAAAATTAAACTGCAAGTCAAGTGTCATAAAATTTTAGAATTAGAGTAGACGCTAATTATTTTTGAAAAATAAATACCTTTTGTTGAGTTCTGCTCAACATGCATTAACAACATACAAAAATTTGTACCATATCATTATATTTGTTTTTAACTGAGCGATTATGTAGTAAGTAGACTAGTAGATATACCCGGGAAACTTGTTCGAAAGGAGAGAAGACGCCATTAAACAAACAAAAAGGAAATGGTTTGCTCACTGACAGACTAGAATTGAAAGATAAACAATTTAGCATTGAAATGACAAATTTCAAATGTCACGAGCTAATTATTGCTATTATTATCATTACCTTGAGCATCACCACCACTAGTGAAAACACCAATAGCTCGACCATGGTATGAGCCTTTCTCCACATAGACACCTTCTTTGCCAGGAACCGCCATCACGCTGTCGTTACGACCGAAGACTGGCTTCACGGTTTGTGAGGCACTCTTCAAACGAATATCAGTTTCTCTTTTTGCCATTTTCGGGTGCAAAAGCACAGACTGGTTAAAGTAAATTAATCTTCCACCAACCAATAGTCAGCAGCTTAGCTGCTTCTTATCAAGTTGCAAGCCTACCTGCCCGTGTTATTGTTGATGTGCGACCTTCGCCTGTTCTTATCCTTTACATGTGAAGGTCATCCGAAAATTGCCGAATACCAACTAACAAGCGTACTTAAACCACTCGGCAATTTTCGTAACAAAACGTTTTTGCCTTTTTTTTCTTAAATAAACAAACTAGCCACCTGCTGGTAATTGCGATAATAATTGTGCTGATGATTTTTTTTGTTACTCTAAAATTTAAATTTGCGTACATTAGAGTGGCACATTACCAGAAAAATAAACATACGTAATTTATTTTTATGCAAAAATATCAATAAATTACTACGTGAAATGCAATAATTTTCATTCGATAAGTTTTAAGTGCCACAAATTCACTGGGAAACACATTTTTGTGTGCTGAATAGTGATTTTCTAAGCGTAGCTTAGATGTGGCACAAGGCCGAAATAGGGGGGCACCCAGTGAGGATCGAACTCACTACTCAGTCGTAATTGGGCTAGCGAGCCAAACTAACCATAAACAGCCTGCGTGCCAGAAGTCTCTGAGTTATATGCAAGCAAAAAAGCAAAGGTATTGTAAACAAACATAGTATTGCAAAGTACTAAAATTCTCAAGAAAAAAATGATTCAGAGGTACTATGAAATATAAAAAATATAAAAATGTTCAGAAAGTGTAGTTCAACTAGGTTCATAACACTGAAAGAACTACAAAGTCATTAGGCTTATTATAAAACTAAATTAACTTAAATTGAAGGGGGTGTAACAACGCAATGAAGAAAAGGTCAAGGTCATGAAGACTTGGTCATTGAATGGAGGAGCGAGGGCTACGATAACCGCAAGACAGCAATATAGGATAAATAACATCAAACTGATACTGATAATCATTTTCTCTTTTCCCTTTCTTTCTCTCCTAATTGTCCTTTTATTCCTTTTTATCCTTATTTTCTGTAAACACTTTCTTCTTTTATTATTGTTACTCACCGAGCAGGAGTTTTTTCTTTATTCGTACGCGCCTAAAAGAGTCTGTCCGCTCTAATCTTGCTGTTTTACTTGCGTTTTGTCGCAACTTTTTAAACCTCAACCCAATTTTTAACCTCAACCCTTTGATGCGGGAAAGCCGGGTTCGTAAGTAACGAAAACAGGTTGGAGTGAACAAACTGTGAGGTTTCCCCCAGACTTTATGGCACCATGGAAAGAATAATGGTGGTGGAATTCCTTTTTTTTATATTTTCCAGCACTCTCCTTAGTCAGAAAATATATTCTTATCTCTGAATGAAAAATAGCGAGAATGTGAACTTGTAAAATTGTTGTTCTCAAATTAAATTCCAATACAAACAAAGATTGAACTTCAGTTTGTTGCAGAACGAAATCCCATTTTTCCACCCACAAGATAACTAGCATGGAGTAAGATAACTTCTGGGTTTAAATTAAACTAATTAATCAACACATTTTTTGACAAAACAAACTTCGTGAGCCTAAAATGGAAATATTTAAATATAAAAATTAAAGCTGTGTTCTGAATAATGCACAACAAACATGAGAGAAAATAATCTGCTCAGTGAACATTAATAAAATATTGTATTAACAATGATATACAAAAATCATCAACAATAGTATAAAAAATAATTAAAATTAAAATGTCAATATGTGCCTTATTTTCCAAGAATTGAACTGCTACAATATTTATTGTCGTAAATACAACAAATGTGGCACAAGGCCAAAAGGGGGTTGGGGGAAAAGGACGGTCATCACTTGTCTTAAAACTTAGCTAGCCACAACCACTGACCCTAAAACAATATTCCTATCACCAAAACAACACATTTATCCATACCTTTCATACTACATCCACCAAAATACCTCTTCGTCTCAATGAAAATCCTAAATAGTCCCCTTATGTACAAATATTGTTCGTGGGGGGAGGGGCATAAAAAACAACAATTTTTAAAAAGATCCCCAATGAGTATATACAATATGACATAAAATATTTACAAGAAACTAAACAAAAAGGGTTAGTTAGTAAAAAACCCCCACAAACCTTAAATGTGGCAGAAATATCAGTTAACCGGACGAAAACGACGCGGGACTAAGAAAATAAAGAGAACACTCATTACGCCAAAGCATTCACACAGGCACACACCCATTCATACACAACAACAATTACGAAAAACACACACGCGAAACGAAAGGCGCCATCTAACCATCTAACGAGGGAGGGGATGGGGAGTTAAACTAAGGAAAAAAAAATTGGGGACAGAAATAAAAAGGGCCGATGAGCAAAACACACCCAAGCTAAGTTTACAGAAAAAGGAAAGAAAAACTAAAAAAAATCAACTACAAAAACCTAAACTAGCCTACTGTTGGGAAGGGTTGCCCATGTTCAACCCTGGAAAACAATATCCTGATGCCTAACCGGCATCAAAATGCCACTCCAAGTCAGCCCCTTTTACTCGACACAAGCGCGCAAGATTCATCCACCTTTTGCCAAATTCTGATGAGAGCCGCCGCCTTTCCGTCCTAATCTTGACTTTAAGCTGATGCTTAAAGAACAAGATCAGTTGGGAAGAGGTGAACTTCTCGCCATCATAGAATTCCTTCTGACGCGTCGTCCAAATCACGACTCTCATAACCCCTAGTAAGCAACAGAACACATAGTGTTCAGCCTTCGTCAACTGCGGCACCACATTGCTACAAACAGAACTGGCTTCAAGGACAAAAAACTTTCCCTGCAGCATGCGAACCATGAGGCCTTCAACAAACCTGCACAACGGCACTACCGTCTTGCACTGAAAAAGGCGTGACCAATGGTCTCGACTTCCCCAGTACAGCGACGACAGTTTGGATATTTCTCCAAGCCTGCTGAACAAAGTCTCTTGCCGACCCAGAGGGCCCCACGAATCACCAGCCAGGTGAGTGATGCCTCATCATTATTGAGACATTTCAACCCAGGCGCCCAAGGCCATATCGAGCGAGCCTCCTGCTTCGTAAGACCGAGCTCGCCAATCAGATCATCTTGAACGGCCCCCCTAACTAACAGTCGATACAATGCCTTACGAGACAACGCCTGGGCGTTGGAGAGGCCATCCGACGCCCGTAAGAGGAGTTTCAGAGCACGACGACATTCGCGGTAGAAGGAGCACTCGGCTCGGGGTGTACGACCGGCCTCCTCCTCGCACGAGTGCACACTTCTCAGGGATGGGAAATGTTTACGGACGTCTTCTTTCCAGAAGGCGCCCACCTCATCCGATCCGCGACACATTCGGTCTAGAAAGGTAATGCGAAGCATATGTTGACGAATCTCAATGCTAGGCATACCCAGACCGCCCTCAGAGGGATGAAGGCAACAGATCTCGCGAGATACCATAGGGGCCTTGTCTCTCCACAAGAAAGAGAACAAGGTCCGAACTAATAATATTAGTTTGGCATACGGGAGTGGAAGTACAGAGAGTCGGTACAGGAGAATCGGATAGATGTGTGAAACACATACTTCCGCCCTTCCCTTCAGGGAAAGGCTCCTCCGAGACCACAGATTAACCGCGATCTCGGCCTTCCCTTGTACCTCCGACCAATTCATTTCCAACTGGAGATCAGGACCGAACCAGACGCCGAGTATCTTGATCGGCCCATCCGTCCAGAGGAAAGGTCCGGGAAGAGAAACTCCCTTCCACGCACCCAACCGCAAGCCAACAGACTTATCGCGGTTGATCTTGGCCCCTGTCACCATCTCATACCCACTGATCTCTTTGCTGACTTCGTCAATCTCGGCTCTGCTCGACACAAGAACCGAAACGTCGTCAGCATAGGCAGAATACCTGGCTGAGGTGGTAGCCCCAGGCAGGGCAATTCCGCGCAGGACCGGATTCGCCTTTAACTTGCGAAGGAATGGTTCCAACGCAAGAACGTAAAGCAAAGGCGAGAGCGGACAACCTTGACGAATGGAGCGAGACAATACGAAAGGCTTCGATCTTACCCCATTCACTTCCACCAGCGCACCGGGGGTCGCATACAAAAGTCGGATCCAGGAGCGAAAGTCGGCTCCGAAACCGGCCGCCGAAAGGACAGCCTCCAGAAAACGATGGTCAACCCTATCGAAGGCCTTGGACTGATCTAAATTGATCAGCGCGGCTTCACTGTCGACTTTTTCTAAGATCAAGCGTACCATATGAAGGTTATCCTGAATAGTCCTGCCCTTCACAGCACAAGTCTGTTCGGGGCCAATCAGACTAGACAGGACAAGCTGCAAACGGTTGGCTAAGATCTTCGCCAAAATCTTTAACTCAGTGTTTAACATGGTTAAAGGGCGAAAATTCCCTAACCCATCCCCACCGTTCTTGTCCTTACGCAGCAACTTGATCACACCCCTGGTGAAGCGTTGAGGTATAGACCCCTGCTTCATCCAGTGGTTGAAAATCAGTTCCAGCAAAGGAACAAAAACGGGCGACTGCCTCAAGTAAACTTCGTAGGGAAGACCATCCAGTCCCGGAGATTTATCCAGGCCAACCTGCTTCAGCGCATCCCAGATTTCCGACTCTGTAATGGGACCCTCGCACCTAGCCGCTTCAGCTGCCTCGAGGCAGGGAAAGTCGGCTAAATAGGCGTCGAACTGAGCAGAGCTCAGACCGGGCTCCCTGGTGAAAAGATCCTGAAAGTAATCCCGAAAGACCTCGCATATGCCCGCGTTTGTAGTCACGGTCCGCTTATCCGGCAATGTGACGCACGCTATATGTCGCCTAGACGCGTTCCGATTTTCCTCTGCACGCAGTTCAGCGGCCATATTCGTCGCCTCAGAAGACATTCTTTTTAACCTAGCCCTAACTACCAGAGCTTGATCCTTCTTGATAAGCAAGGAGGACAACTCTGCCTTAGCTAAGGCTATTTCCCCACTAACACGGGATTTCACTGCCCGATCAACTTTATTTTCTAAA